ATGTTAATATTTGTTGGTAGAATACTTAGCTTGTATTTAACCAGTTCTTTTAGAGAGTCTAGTCTTGTGAGGGAGTTAACAATTTTGTCTAGTGGCCACGTTTGTGCATCATATATGTTAAGTTGTTTTTTTCTAATATCGAATAGACTTTCTCTAAATTGTTGTACCCACACGCTTCCAATATCAGTTCTATCGTGGGTTATTGTTTGTCTTTGCAGACCACGAGAGGTGATTTGGCTATACAGAGGACGAGGGTTTTTTGAGTGAAATATGTGTAAGTTTGTTATATCCTATCATATTAACACCTGATTTCTTACAAATAGAACATCTTGGTTTTCTTTTAGCTTCGATAGCAGTAAATAATATAAATAAAAACAGAAACAAAAATAAAATTTTTTTCAGTTTCATTTTTAAATATAAAATTGAATATCAAATCGTTATTTATTTATATTTATATAAATATTAGATAAACAAATGTTGATATATACTAATTTAAAATTTTAATATTACATTTACGTAAATCAAAACTATAATTATTTTTAAATTTGATCCTTTCAATTCCGATATCTGGAAACATGTGATTAACAAAATTTTGATCATCCTCGTTAAACTTTGACTTGAAGATATTTAACAATATATTATACTAAATTTTGCTCTCTAAATTGAAATTCAATAAAAATTTTGTTTAGTTTTCTTGAAACTAAACAAATGATTTCGCTTGCAGCGAGCTTTTTTTACTACAACTTCTGCACATTCCTATCGCACAGGCTTGTAATTTAAAGGTTTTACAATATACACGTGGGCTTCCCAGCTACACGTAAAATAAATATTTATTAAATAAAATAATAATAAAAATAAATTTATTTAATAGAATAATAAAATAATTAAATATTTTTAGGATTTTCAGAAGAATTTTTCCACATTGCTGCAACATTTTTAAAAGCTATCTTATGATCTAAACTAGGATTTTCTTTTTTATATTTAGGAAGTGTATTTTTCATGTAACTATTATATGGTGATAATTTTTTTTGATTCAACATATCAATAGTTGATCCACGTCTCGCTAACCTATCTGCAATCTCATTTTCAGTTATTCCAACATGAGCTTTAACATATGTAAAAATAATTTTTCCTTTTCTATCATTTACTAATTTATCAAACTTTTCAAATAAATCTCTATTTTTTACATCTTCACCCCTTACAGTTTTCCAATTATTTATTTTCCATTTCAAAATCCATGATTCACATGCGTTAACAACATATCTACTATCAGTTCTTATTTCTAAGATTTTTTCTTGATTTTCACAAGTTTCAATTGATCTAATTATAGCAAATAATTCTGCTCTATTATTAGTTCGTATATTTCCAGGTAATGGTTCAGTAATTTCTTTTGATCCATCTTTATAATAAATTCCAATTCTAGCATGAATACCTCTATTATTATTGATGCAACTTCTATCAGTATATATAACAATCTTATCAAGAGAATTAATTAAATCTTCTTTTTCTTTAATCTTATTCTGATGATCTTCAAAACATTTATACGCGTCTTCTAATGTAAAAAATTTTTTATAACTAGAATTTGAAATGTTGTTCACTTGTTCTTTACATTCTTTCCAGGAATAATATATTCCTGATGTACGACCAATTAGAACAACAAAATATTTTGATAAAGGTGATTTTGGCATTCTGGATTTATAACATAAATAATTCAAGTAA